CATATGCACTGAAACACCCCATCGGACAAAAAAGCGCCAGGGGTTTGCGAAAACCATCTCAATTGAATGATGATTGCTATCTTCTCCGATCTCTTGAGGAGCTGCGACGTGTGATTGCGTTGCCCCTGACGCCCAACACACTGACAACCTTCAACGAGCAGTTTGCAGGCTTATTGCACAACTCTCCCGAGGCGTCGTCCATGCCCATATTTTTGGAAAGAACTCACGGCGCCCCCGTAGAGGACGCCGAGAGTCACGAAAACGAGCCATGGGACAACATCTACTCCGGAACAAGTGTGTGGCGTTGGCCGGTGGAAGTCTTGTATCAACGGTACCATTTGTTGATAGCCATTGATTTTGGGGTTTCGATCGTCGGTGTTTCAAGGAATGGAACGGTGCTGGTTGACAAGGTGCCGTTTGCCATCCAATCTGTGTTGGATGTAGTTAAAAAAACAATGCAAACACGTGAAAAGGAAAAAAATGAAATAAAGCATTGGGTCGACATGCACGTGGAGGAGTCAGAGCGTCATAACATCCTTCGGCAAGTGTGGAACCCCCGAATTGATATTTCCATCGTCCTGATTAATTTGCCCGGGGCGGAGGGGAGTGCGTTGACGTCCGTTTCTTCAAATTTCTCCTCATCGGGGACAGGCTGCGCGGCTGACGTGGAGGGACATCATGCGCACCTGTTTCCGGCGGGTGCGTTGCCGTTTCCTGCATTTGAGGGCGAATTCCCCGGTGATGCACACTGTCATCCTCACTTGGTTCCCTTGATGACGCGCTGTGACGCGGGGTTGGTGCTGAGCGACGGCGGGCCTGTCCGGCTTCAGTTTGGTTCCGGAAACCGCTTAATGGAAACCTTTTTTTTGTGAAAAGAAGTAGACGGAAAAAGAATAGCGACGGCGGTTGCAGCACCAAAAGTGGAAAACAACGCGGGAGCGGCCCCGTCGACACGTCCCAACGGAGAGAGGAGTGGAGAAGGCGTTTCGTTTTTTTCGCCTTGCGATGGTGGGGCGCGCTTTGAAGCTGCTTATGAGAAAGGGCTGCGCCACACAGTGCGGCGAATTAGCCGGGCAAAAAGCGGATGGCGATCGAGGCGCCGAGGCCAGAGGAAAGCATAGCCGGCGCAACGGCTTTCAGCGACCATCCCCTATCGGACATCTTTTTCAGCAGGGCGAGGGCAAAGACCCAGCTTTCCGCATTTCGCTCTGCGCCTTCCCTTCGCAAAATGAGGTGAATGGCAGAGGGCGCCTCGGCATTCGTATCATTTCGGGCCGCGCCGCCCAAAAGCGCCATGCACCGCCCCAGGTGGCACATGGCATCATCAAACTGCTCCTGGGATATCGTGCAGCTGTCGAGAGCGTCGGCCATCGCGTCCGTGAGGTCCTGAGGAACGTTTTTTGTACAACAACCAACTATCGCCACTGCTGTGCAAAACTGCTTTGCGGACACCCCTCGTCGATATGAACTAAGTTCCTTTGCCGCCTTCCAGGCCACCCGTTCATTGGAAGCCATTGCCGCCGCACTGATGGCCGTAATAAGAACGCGCGGTGTTTTTTCCGAGGCAGTTTTGGCAACGTTCAGGGCCGCAGCCCACACCCCAATGGTCGCCAGAAGGTGTGCCAAACCTTCGGCGAAGCGGTGGTCTGGGTTTTCAATGTGCTGGAGGGCCTCGATGCAACTCTCCCAGACCGAGGCGAAGGGAATCCTTCGCTCAAGTACCACCATTCGCAGCCAGACGTTGTATGTATGAAGGTTCTTTGCCGGCTGTGATGCGTAAAATCGAATTGCCTGCTGCCACAAATTACCTTTGGCAAGCGCCACAAGAGCATGATTATGCACAGCGGCATGTTGACGTTCATGCGACGACAGCGCGGACGGAACGGCTTGATAAAGGAGGAGCGCCCGCTCCCACTGAAGGGCGCCGTTCATCAGGGCCATGACCTTTCCCAGAGGAATTCGCGCCGCGTCTTCGACTCTGCCATTGTAACGCATGACGAGCCCCGTGGCAAAACGCCACTGTTCAGGCGAACAGGCGGAAATAAAATAATCGATGACGCGCTTAGGGGGCGGGGTTTCCCGATGTTGGAGGAAGTAGGCCTCAATAAGTTTTTCCATCCGTCTCCCAATCGCCATTTCGCGAGTGGTGGCGAAACGGAGTGCCAGTGCCGCAGCAGTACTCACTAAATAACTCTCTTCTTGAACGACCGCTTCCTCTTTGAGGTGCGAGACTAAGTTGCAGGCATGGCGCCATCCATGGCGCTGCGACGAAGCCACCCGTTCGATTACATCCAGAAGACGGAAACGCGGACAAAGCTGCAACGCTTCTTCCCAATGGCCTCCGGATGCAAGTCCCACGCTGACATCTACACGGGCATCATCGGTCAACACACCCTCGGCATTCGCCACCTTTCTAAACAATAAGCGTGGGACATTGGGACTCAACTGCGACAATTGTGGTGATTGAAGAAGAAACCGATAGTGCGCCGCTCGCACAGGAACGCCAGCAATTTGCGCTTCCACGAGGCACTGGAGCTGTTCTAGAGTTAGCAGGTGATTTTCCTTCTCAGATCTCACAGGGTCGTACGTGTAAGAGCAATTCGCATTAGAGTAACAGGCCAAAATGGTTTCCAATGTCCGCGCCTTTTGCTCAGGTGTACCACTTTTGAGCATCTCCCCCCGCAACCGCCTCAGGAGAGGAAGGCTACGAACATCAATCGTGTGCCCGGGAAAACCATGAAGATGCGCACGACACACACGTTCAAAGACGCTCGCACCATCACGGTATCGAATGTGCGGCGGTGAAACCAAGTAGTTTTGCAGCGCCCGTGCCCATGACATGGCGTAACGCACACTCACCGACTCCCTCGCGGAAGAACTCGAAACAAAGACATAAAATCACACAATAAAAAAAAGATATATACATATATGGCTGTGACAGTCAAAGTTGAGGAACGCATTGAACGCAACAGGATCCAAGAGGGTGAAGCGACGATAGTGCACGAAATAGTGACGCGTCGCGCTTCCCAATCACGCGGGAAGCTATAAGAAGACAGGAAACAATCTCAGAGACAATTGCACTGCTGATCCACGCCTCGTGTGTGGTGAAATGTAAGAGTAAAAACAAAAAAGTAAAATAGAAGACGGTCAAAGCAAGAACTCTCAAACAGTTTTTTTTGGGGGCGGGACCGTCCCACTTTTTCCCAGCCCCCCACCAGTTCGTTTGACTTTCACCACCCGCGGCTTTTGATCGAGCCGCTGCTTGCTCCATCGCTCAGGGACATTTCCCCCTACAGGGGGTTCACGCCACTGGCGAAGACGAGCCTCTACCTCCTCCGCCGTGAGGGCCTGGGCGTCCCTCGTTCGATACGCATCACGGGTGCGCTGCGCCTCAAAACTATCCTCCCCCACCTTTGCCTTGACCCACCATCCGTCGCCCAGGTGACGGCCCAGCGGCGCCTCTGTGGCAAGGAACCCATACGACGTACCATCCGCACGCCGTCCATGGATGCATAGGGCACCGTCCTCTTCCAACAGGACTTCCACAACAGACTCCCCGCGAGTGCCATCCCCTGCGCAATATGAATTATCGGCCGCCAGGCGCAACAGACCAGGCTGCTGCACAATGCTTGGGGTGTCTCCCGAAGGCTTGTGGCCACCGCAAACAATCGATATCCCACTGCTATTCAGAAACTCCACCGCGTCAAGTCCCAAGTAATGAGGACCATCAGTCTCAACAAGAGCGTGAACCACAACAGAATGTGGAACAATGGAAACAGGAAAGGCATATTGACGCAAGAGCATCCCATCACCACCTGACGCCCATTGTCTAAACTCCTCATCCTTAAAGCCATTCAAGGCACCAAGCCACTCCTCGGCCGTAGCGTCTTTCATACTAACGTTGCACCGTTTTAAGGGTGCACCATCCACAAAAACCTCCTTGTCTGGGAGAATCCCAAAATTCTGATCCACAATGCTTCCATGAACAAATAAAACTCCATCCAAAACTTCAGCAATCTTTCCTTGCTTTAAATACTCATAATATACACCTCCAGGACAGGCAGCGTCAAGAAAACTTTGCGCCACCTCAACATCCGTCACTTCCCCTTCTCCTTTCCGCATAATTTGCAATTCCCTTCGCCTGTGCTCAAAGGTATTAGGGGCTCCCATTTTGTACGCTAGCGTCCATTGAATAAATGTTACTTTGGTCACCACTGATGGCAGGTTATTTGCTTCCAAATACCCCGCATACGAATACCATTCTTTGCCACCAGAAGCATTGGTCAAAGTCAATGGGAAAACTAATCGTTGCGCCGCTTCGGGCGACAATTGTGACGTACCAAAGACCTTTGCCATTGGAGCACCAAACGTCATCTTGTTGATGTCACGATTACCCAAAATAAGATGCACACGTGATGGGTAGGCATCACGAAAGTCCAACAGCGTTTTGGCAAACGCGATGTCGTCGCCATGATCAAAGGCGTCCCCGCCGTACACAAAGTGGGACGTCTCGTCACGGAATTCGAGACGTCCGTTGATCCACGACAAGACTCTGCTTTGCTCAGCGTAGCGAATGAAGTACGATAGGTCACCCTCTACATCTGTCACAAAAGCCGTGCGACGACAGACACCACAACGACGCAACATCTCTTCCGCAGCTAGAGAATTCCTTAACCCCCCATTTTTCAAGACCAGCAGGCCAAGAAAGGAAACAGCATATAAAAAAAAAAAAAACGTAGAATAAAGTGCTCAAACAAAATTTTGGTACTCAAGGAAAGTCACAGTGCTCACACAGATACGCCAGAAAAAAAAAAGGAGGGAAGGGCTCAAGCCCATACTGATAACAAAAGCTTTTTCTTTTCCTTTCTTCCTTCCAATTTTCACGCCACAACACCATACACGGTCAGTACACAATGCATTGCCTTGTTTTCGGCGTGGTGCACATAACAAGCATCACTCGCAGGATTCCAAGAGCACGCCGAAATTGCGTTAAATCCAGCACCATTGTTCTGAAAGACGACACAGTGCGCTATATATTTTCTTGGGAGAGCTGCCTCCAGCGTCAGACGCTGTACGACGTTCTCTGTGATGGCAGACACCATGGCGGGGATCTTTTCATGCTGATACCTCACGACCGGCATAAAGTGCCGTGACACCACCTCTTCACAGATGTCCTTTGCATCATCGGCAAGTGTGAGCTTCTCCGTCATTGCCCGGTCCAGGCTCGTTTGTCGAAGCGGAACCGCTTTTCTCTTTGCGTTTCCTAACGGCTTTTTTTAAGAAACCAAAGACGAGGGCACAAAAGGGAATTCTGCAAAATTTTTTCTTTTTTCGCCTTTTTCCCCTCTGCCCACACCCCTTACCCTCGGTTTTGTGCGGAGGCGAACGCAACAACCCAAACAAAGAGACACAAAGTAAAGCAGGAAACAAACAAACAAACAACAACAAAAAAAACAGGACCCATGCATTCAGGGAGCAAAATAATTCTCCACCAACCGTTTGGCGGCATGAACTCCCTCACCCCTTTTTATTCCCTTACCCGCCAAAACATAATAGTAATAGTAATGATAACAATATTAGTGGTCTCTAGGCATTCGCCTCCGCAACATCTGGTTTTCCCATCGCCAGCCTCTCCAAGCAGCTCTTAATGTAGCCGACCCGTCGTGGGTCCAAGTCCATCGCGGTGTGGTAGTACTGTACCGCCTGACCAGTTAAGCCCATGAGATGAACGCACTTCGCAAGTGTCACATACAACATTGCCTCATCGGGACATTCTTTTGTCATCCCTAACAATTCATCATGGGCTTCATGGAAGCGACCGAGACGAATCAACACCTCTGCACGCTGATGACGAGCACCAAGGTTGGTCGGATGTCTTCGAATGGCACTTTCATATATACGCAGCGCTTCATTCAGGCTTTCCCTTGTGGCATCTCGTCGGTGGTATGTAGCGGCATACCGGTTCATGATGGTCGGTAAAGGATTGATACTGATGGCTTGTTGAAAGTAATTACGCGCCTTTTGCAAATCCTCACTTCTAAAGTACAACTCGCCAAGACCTGCGTATGCGTTGTAGTGGCCACCATCGATTAGAATTGCCTCATGAAAAGCATCCACCGCCTCAGACTTTAGGTCCAGGTACAATAACTCGTACCCACGGAGGGTGTGGGCGTACGCAAAGTCGTGATCCACCTGAATGGCGCGGTTAAGCATACAGAGAGACTCCTTCGACTCCTTAGCAAGACTGTAATTGTTGGCCACAACACACAATGTGATGGGTGAGGCGGGCATTTCGTTAATAAGTGTTTGCGAGAGCGAACCCAATGTTCCCAATTCCTTGCGTTGCCACAATGCAGTGCTGTAGTATACCAGCGCGGGGTCAGCTAACCGCCACGGTGCCACACGTCGCATATTAGCAAATTCCACCGTCGAGTTCTCCACATCGCCATCGTGAAAGTACGCCATAGCAAGGGCTCCAAATGCCCATCCTGAATCTCGCTCGGGAAAGCTTTCGTGTTGAAGCAAAGCCCGTGCTTCTTTGCATCGGTATGTCCACTGCAGAAAAGTCACAGAAGCAAAGGGCGACAGGTACAGTCGTAGTGCTTCCCTCTTCACATGTCTGTGGGCACCACCCACACCGCCTATCCCCATCCCACTCATTGAAGAACGCCTTACGGCATCCTCAGCCCCCACCCCCGGCGCTGCATCGGTATATATGCAGCGCACTTCTTCTCGGGGAGTCCGCGTCATTTTCACATGATTCTCAAAAGCTACAAAATTGAGTGGATCTAACACGGCACTTTTTGCAAATGCCTCTTCCGCATAACCACGACGAAGGTGCCGGCGACAAACACCCAGCCAGTACAGCACCTCAGAAGACGATTGTTGCCGTTCAAGTTCCTCAAGAAAGCTCTCGCCTTCCATATACCGCTGGGTCATACCACATGTTACCCCCAATAGATACTGGCAATCCCATCGTGCCGCAGCATCTGCAGCAGTGTTGCTTCCAACACCAGTCCCATTGCCACTAGTACTACTATTCGTAGTGGCAAAAGAGGGAGTGGCCGACAACAAATAGGGATAATGTGCCCGCAAGATTCGGTAGGCTGTTCCAGCGTCCCCACTTGTCACGTAGCAATGTGCTACAGTGTGCAATGACTCGTGTGTCGGTGCCAATGCATAAAGTCGCTCCGCGCAAAAAATGGCATTGTCGTACAAATACTTTGCAAGACTCTCCTGCACAGCATCCTTTAACCCTTGCACAGTGAGCGTTTTTCGCCGTTCCCTGTAGTAAGTCATTCGTTCTTCTTGTACAAATGTGTAAGCATGTAAACAAGTATTGAAAACAAAACAAAATAAAAATAAATGGGAATCAAAAGAATAAAATACAAAAGATAAATTCCCTCTACTAATAACTTCTTTCCCCACATTCTCCTCTACCCAAGCAAAGCAGCAATCCCTCTTTAAATTTCGCAGTGCACAACCCGCAACAACAACAACAACGGCAAAAGATGAAGAAACAAACAAAAAAAGTAAAGAGGATAGATTTCTGTAGCTCGATTTTTCCCATTTCTTAAATGTATGTTCCTCTCTGTATTTTTCACACGCAAATGATGTCTTTCCGTGTGTACTCCCTTCACCATATGTCTATTATTATTATCTTCCCACTTCACTTCTGTTGTATTTATCTTTGGGGTTGGGAGAGAGAAAAACGGAAAGAGTCTTCTGTGACTCGAAAAATAAACCCGCTAAAAAGCACTCATCCCCTCACGTGCGTCTATCTATGGAGCATACACACCCAAACCATATAGTGTGGACCTCTTGTTCTCGTGTAATTCCTCACCCGCGCCCTGCTCCCGACTCAATGCGGGTAACCTCTGAATAACCCTGTGTGTTGCTCACCTGGTAAAGGACATCCGCATTGCTAAACATTCCGTCCTTGAGCGAAACAAGAAGAAATTGGGAAGAGGGAAAATGTGTCTGCAGCATCCGCCCAATATTTTGCGTGTGGCTTGGGTCAAGTGCAGCATCCACCTCATCAAGGATGTATACTGGCGCCTGACGTACACGGAGAATGGCCAAAATAAGGCATAACGCAAGCAGAGAGCGTTGCCCACCACTCAGTTCCGACAGTGACTCTTTTTCCTTACCATTAAACATGACCTTTACCTGAAGACCGCAGAGATGGTGCTGATCATCGCGTTCCTCTCGCAAAACAGCCGCAGCACCGGGCAGACATGTGGAGAAAAGCTTGGAAAAAACACTGCTTACAACTTTTACCATGCGGTCTAGCGCATGCCATTTCTTTTCTTCAATACCCAGGATACACTGCTGAATAGCATCCCTGTCTTCACCCAATGCGGAGCGTTGCAGTACCAACTCATCGTATTCCTTTTTGCGTTCCTCATAAAGAATTGTGGCCTTACGATTTAAGCGTTTGGACATGACGGCAGCCTGTGACTCGGCCTCGCGTAATTCCTGCAATGTGGCAGCCGTTCTCGCCTTGTCTTCAAAATAATAAGGACCATCGCTTCGTCCAAATGTATGTTGTTCCTCAACTAACCATGGGTGGCGATGCTCAGCCTCATGCACAGATTTTTTTAGTTCCTCTGCCGCCTTCGCCGCGTCGCGAAGATCCACCTCGGAATTTTTTATAAAGGCTTCAAGAGAAGACTTTTTCACCAGAAGCTGTTGAAGTTCCTGTTGTACCTCCTCTACCTCCTTCTCGAGACACTGTCGCTGTTCCTCCATTCGTTGCAGCTGCTCCACAACCTTCCCCAATTTTGCTCTTGTTTCGTCAAGTTGGGCTTTGGCCTCGTCTCGAGCCGCAGTCCTTTGCGATATCTCTTCCTGTACTTCCGAAATTTTGCGTTCTAGATCCGCTGCCAGCTGCATGATTTCCGCCTCCATTCGCTCAAACTCTGCGGATCCAGCCTCTTCCTCACGAGCGAGGGCACAGCTTCGTTTCTGTGCCATAGAAAGCTGTTCTTGCATTTCTTTACGCACCATGTCAGGATCTTCACGAGTGTGCCGTTCAAGCGCCACTTTACGCTCTTTCAGCTCCCGCAGTGCTTCGCATTCCGCCTCATGCCTGCGTCGCTCCTCGTCCAGTGCCGCGCCCAACTCCTCCACGGGCCCGTTGGTTTCGCCTTGCTCGAGCTTCAGCTTGTGCTCCGCCAGTCCCATCGCCTCCTCCGCTTCCTTGTACCGCCTTATCAGAGGTGCATTTTGCCGCAGCTTCTCCTGAACAGCTTCAAGCTCCGCCTCTACCTGCGCAATTTTTATCCGCAACTTTCCTACGGGCGCCTTACGCTCATGGTAAGCACGAATCTCCGCAAAAATGTCGCGAAGTCGTTGAGTTGAACCACCCGTCATCAGTCCACTTGGTTCCGCCACATCACCATCAAGTGAAACAGCCTTGCACCTCACGGCCGGATTGAAGGCAAGCTCCTGAGCCAAGTCTAATGAGGAGCAAACAAAGAACTGTCCGTAGACATGCTCTGCGACGATACAATGGGCTTCATCTTTGATTTCTATCAGGTCCTTTGCAATGGCGAGGAAACCTCCTTTGCGAGCAGCAATACGTTTTGCCTCCTCCATGCGTCCACTGTCCACACCCTTTGACGGCTGCAACGTGTTCAACGGAAGAAATGCCGTGCGTTGTCGCAAGCCATGACGAATAATTTTCTCCGCAACAAGATCATTTGTTACAACAACACGCAATAATTGTGTTTGCGCCCCCACCATCAGAGCCATGGCATACTTCTCTTCCTTTGGTACAATGAGCTCAGCAACGCGACCATGAATGTGTTGTTCAATACCTGGGCACGCAAGACGGTCGTACTCTACGTCAAAACCACGACCGCCATTGCCCATCTCACGTTGCAAAGCATCGTTTGCTTCCCAATACTCCGCCCTGAGACGCAAAAGTTCTTCCTGCAACGCGCTTGCCTGCGACTCCGAAGGAGCCACTACTGCATAAGACTCTGCCTCCGCGTCGACGCGTTCACGCGCCCTCGCTAGTTCCTTCTCAAGCTTTGCAATGGTTTCACCCCGTGTGGCCGCCTTTTGCACAAAATGTTTCAACTGTCGTTCCAGTTCCTTAATGCGCTCGTCACACCGTCTTGCCTCAGCACCGTGATGAATCAGTTGGCGTTCAATGTCAGCACGTTCCTCTTCTAACGACAAGCCGGACATGCCCGCCCGCACCCCGGAGGTTTGCAACTGTAGGGAACGCTTCAATTTGGCAACGTTTTCCTTCTCCGCACGAAGACGTTCCATAAGTACTTCTCGTTGTTCCTTTTTGGACGCAAACTGTTCTATTCGAGCCGCCTGCTTCCCCTTTTCCTTCTCCAGTTTATGGAAATTCCCCTCGAGTAGACGTAGGGCCTTTTCTGCTCCCTCCACATGCGCCTCATCCCGTGCCAACTGCTTTTTGAGCAAACTTTCCTCTTCGTGGAGGGAAATAACCGCCTCCGCAGGAGTGGCGAGAGATTTTTGCAGTTCCATCAGTCTCCGCGTAGAGGCATCCTCCGATGCCGGCAGTAACTTCAACTGCTCCTTTGATACGACAACATCTCTCTCGACTGCGGCACGCCGCTCCGTGCGCTCTTCCAATCGTTGCCTCTGTTCTTCATATTCAAAAGCGACACGAAATCGTCGCTTCTCCTCAATACTCTCACTCATCTGCACAAAGCGCTCATATTCATCCTGATCTGCCTTCATGGCGCGCAACATAGGGCCAATCTGTGTCTCAATGTTATTGTCAATCTCTTCCATTTTCTTTTCCTTGCTGCGAATCAGATTCTCGGCTGTACGTCGACGGTGATCAAAAGCCTTCGTTCCAACTGCTTCTTCTATAAGGGAAAGAATGTCTTGTGAGCGCATGCCAATGAGTTTGTGCACCGTCCCTTGTAATACCATAAAGTGTGGATTGTCAACGTTAAGGCTGATGCTCTCAAAGAAGCGCTTTACTTTGCTCTGCATGGATACGGTGTTGTTTAGGAAAAACTGCTGCTTCCCGCCAAGCCTAATCTGCCGTCCAACGGTAATGATCGGGTACTCCTCACAGCTGTATCCCGGCGGCGCCGTACGGGGGTCATCGTTAATAAATTCAATTGTGACGCGTGCCGCATGCACACCTGTCGTGCCTGCTCGAAAGATAAGTTCACGCGGGTCTTCAGCACGGACACGTTTCAAGTTTGTGATACCCATGACAAAACAAACCGCATCAAATATATTTGATTTCCCACTGCCATTGAGACCTGTAATGGCGTTGAAATGCGGACTCAAGTCTTCAAGGGCTTTGCGATGAGCATATGACTTAAAGCCATCAATCACAATGCTCTTCACACGCATCTCTCCTTCTTTCTCTCCCCTCCCCGGTTTGTGCCTGTGAGGGCTCACACTACAAACAGCACGACTAGCAACACCTATGGAAAGCGGAAGAGAAAAGGGGAAGACACACACACAAAAAGGAAGCAGATGGAAGTGTGCAACGACGTTTGGGATGCTGAAATGAAATAAATGGTAGCGCTGTGCACCGGGAGCTCTCTCTCTTTTTTTTTTTGTTTGTTTGTTTGCGGTAAAAAATACCCAACCACTTCTTCTTTTTCCTCCCGCTTCCTCATCCGCTCCAAGTCAACTTCATGTATAAAACTATAACGGGGGACAACAAAACTTCCTTTCAGACGAATCATATTCTCTAATATATTCATATATGACGCCAAAAGAAGAAAAAAAAAAAAGCGCCCACACACACACACACACACACAGACAGAAAGAAAAACAACAACAAGTACTACTACGCAAAACACACACAAACAGACAAGAAAAACAAATCGACAAACGCACAACTCTCTTTTGATCGTTCCTCGTTTAATTTCCCCTTCGTTATTTCTCAAATTCTGCCTGTTTTTCCCCCGTCACACTACCAGGTGCAAAAGAAACATATATATATATATATATGTATACGTATACGTATATACGGCGAAAGGCCAAGAGTGAGAGAAAGACACAAATTGAAGAAAAAAAAAAATCCAAAATGAGTGAAGAGGGAAGAAATTCAGAGGAGTGGAGAAGGAAAAATTGCATTCAAGCATCATCAAAAAGACGTGAAATGCATAAAAACATAAAAAGATCTGAAACATACATAAAATGTTTTTTTTTTTTTGTCTTGGCTTGCCGATTGTTTTTCTCCGGCTGCGGCTTTATTCGTTCTTAACTAACACTTAATTTCCTTTTTTTCTTCCTCTTCTTCTCCCCTCTCCTCCTGCAGGCCTGGAGATTCTCCATAAACACATATAGGATCTGTCGCCTCTGCTGCCACCGTTTGTCATGTCGGTTCCCCCTTCCACCATACCGCCATAACGCAAAAAAAAAAAAAAAAAAGAAAAAAAAAAAAAGAAAAGAAAAAGATCGCAAATAATAACGTAATGATAAGCATCTGTGAGCTTTAAGTCAAAAACAAAAATCCCTCTTCCTATCGTTTTATCTTCATTTTTTTTTTTTTTCCTTTAATTTATTTTTCATACCTAAATCGCCAAGAATGGGTGTCGTAAGAGTTGCTCCGCCGTTGGACGTTTCTTAGGGTCACGCTCAAAACACAACTCAAGAAAGTTCATGAGTTTTGGATCCAAGTCTTTTGGAATCTCCGTGGGGAGGCCCGTTGAATGCGCTATTTTGTACACTGCAGCCCACATGGAGTTGCATTCGGGCCACGGGGGCTTCCCAGTGATCATCTCCACTACGGTGCAGCCGATTGACCAAATGTCGCTCTTCATGCCATATCCACCTGCTTCACACTTGATCGCCTCCGGTGCCATCCAATATGGCGTTCCAACCATCGTCTGGCAGCCGTGTGTCTTACTGCAGACGTCATCAATGGCTTTGCTGCATCCAAAGTCCGCTAATTTAATGATTCCATCAAGTGACACCAGAACGTTGTCGCCCTTGATGTCGCGGTGCACAATACCACAGTCGTGCAGGTACTTCACCCCGCAGACCATTTGATATGTCCACTGACGCACCGTCGGCAGTGGGATTGTTTTGAATTTCTTTACAAACGTGTTAAGTGATCCTCCACTGACAAGTTCCATGAATATGTTCAACGTATTCTTACTACGATCCTCTTGACAGCCGTGGTACTGCACAATATTGGGATGATGAAGTCTTTTCATTAGAGCAATTTCATTTCGCAGTTTATCCATCTCCTCGCGGTCGGAGAGAGACCCCAACTCAATCACCTTGCAACACACCGTTCGTCCACTCACTAGAAGGGCCTCATAAACCGCCCCAAAACTGCCTTTTCCGATAATTTTAATTTGCCGCCACCCTTCTAAATCCGCATCTGTAAGCATTAAACGACCCTGTTGTTTAAAGGGTGCTTTTACGGGACTAGCAGGACTACTACCGATGTTTCCATGCTCTAGATGTGCCAAACTTTTGGCCAACGGTAAACCGCCACTTGCGTTGCCATTCCCTCGTGGGGTATCGTCCATGCTACCGGTGACACCGCTTGTGGTATTAGAGTAGTTGGAGTATTTCTTATCCTCCACAGGGAACTTTCCCTCCGACAGCATACGCAAAAAATTCACATCTAGAAATTTCACGTCGGCCAGGTCTATTTGATCATTCTGATGAACATCATCCGTCACCACGGCTTTATGTACCGCCTGCCGTTGGTCGTGTTCACCATTAACAAAAACACCAGCAACCCAATCGCCATTCGCCATCCACTCACACCCCTGCCCGTGTTTAAGGCCATCCCTAAAAGAGCCAACATACTTGGCACCATCCGCCCAAATGTATGTTCCCTTTCCATTGGGCTTTCCGCGTGCAAATTCACCTTCATAAACGTCACCCTCCGCATTCGTCATTACTCCCTTGCCTTCCTTCTCGTTTTGCACAAATTCGCCGTGATAAGTAACACCGGTTTCTTCCGTGAGTTTACCTTGTCCGTGACGCATATTGGCAATCCACTCTCCCTCATACACGCTTCCACCAACGTACTCCATCTTGCCAATACCCTGGCGCATGTCGTCAACCCACTCTCCAGTGTAAACACCCGTAGCATCCTTCAAAACGCCAAAACCGTCCTGTAGGCCATTCTTGTACTCACCTTCATAGCAATCGCCATCCGCCCAAGTGTAAACACCGCGGCCATTCATGGTGTCATCAAGCCATTCACCCACATATGTATCACCACTCGTCCAGAAAGCCTTACCGTAACCGGCCATGTGGCCTTCCTCGTCGACGGTGCCAACGTAATAGCCCTCGTCAAAATCAATGCGTGTCGGTTCTGACTGCAGTGGTACACCTTGGTGCTCACAATAACTCAAGTCCTCACGTTCCAAGTTCATCTCACGGACGCGCACAATCAAAAAAATAAATACCGAGTAGCAGAAGTGATAAAAAGATATATCTTTATATAACGAATTAGGAATAATAATAAAAAACACAAGTACCCGTTCCACTGCTTCAATTTTGTGGAATACGGATTCTAGATGCCCGCGTTGTGTGGGTGAACACGTTTACACGCTCCAGGCAAAGAAGAGATTAAAAAGATTATAATGGCTTGTACGTCACCCGCCCACTCTCCTCTTCTCTTCCTCCCCGCGTCCTAAACTAAAAAAAAAAAGGAAAAAAAAGGAGTTTCCTACTCCCCTTCCTTTATCAGGTGGATATTTGTGATGACGGCAGCAGCAGCAGCAGTCCCTGTCCCCACTCTGCCTCTCCCTCTCTCTCTTCCTTCTCTAGAGAAGGCAACACAATACAAGTGACAAAAAAAAAATAACAACAAAAAGGGATAAGCAAACAGTAATTTTGCAGCTGCGCATACGCGTCCAGAGAAATCAGTGAAACCAAAAAGTGGTAAAAAGACACTAACCAATTAATCAAACTCCACCGTCTTCTTTACGCCCTTACATGGGAAACTGGCCAACAAAAACAAACAAACAAACAAAAAGCAGCGCTTCACCTTCCTTTCCACGTCCCCCTTTCTCCCCCCTCTTAGTCAGGTGTTGCAATACATACATGTCCTTGCTTGTCACGGCACCGTTTCTCTCCAGTGAAAGCAAAAAAGGCAAGGATAATCATTCCTGCCAATAAATCCAAAGGAACAGACACATAAGCAAAGCAGAAAAACAAAAAAAAAAAACAAAGAGTGCTGCAAACCGAGATTGCATCATTCCCCCCTGACAAACCCACACGCAACGCGGCTCAACAAGAAGGCTTTTTAACATCTCTGCTCCCACCACCACCCCGCCACGGTAAAAAAACTGAAGATAAAAAAAAAAAAGCATTTTTTGTAGGTGAGTATAAACCACAATACATACGCCAGGAGAAGAAAAGAAAAGAAAATATATATATAAGTACAAATTCATACAGTGTGAAGCGCTTTCCGCAACAAGCAGCACCTTTTTGTTGTAATAGTTGTTTTTTCTTCTCTTGCTTTACCGTCGTCTTTCTTTTTTATGAGTACATCCTTCGGCTGTTCTCTTCCCTTTTTTATTTTTTCCTTTCATCTTCTTTCATTGACTCACTTTCAGAATCTTACATTCACACTTACTAAACATGGCACCTGTAGAAGGAAGGGCTTCGCTCCTCTCCACACCCTGTTTATAACTTCATCTTTTTCTTTCTTTTTTCTCTTTTTTTTTTTTTTTTTTTCGTTTCTTCTCGTAACCTCACAGTTTACATCATATAAAGCACGACGGAAATCAGACCATTGAAGAATGAGTAGATGGATACGATGAGAACAGGAAAACTGCTCATAAAAACCAAAAAAAAAAAAAAAAGGGAAAAAAAAAAACATCAAGTAGGTGGTTTATGCACTCAATACCAAAGCAATTGAATAATAAACCTGCCTCTTAGCATACATACAAAAAGAAAAAAAAAAAAGACTCTGCCTATATTAAGGTAACTTAGGGCAATGCAAAATACAGCAAAAAGTTCTACCAACAATAAATCACCCATATTGTCTTTTCGTTTAGCAAATGTCACGCCACCCATCCTATTGGATGTCTCAACTCTTTTTACACAAAACAGCGCCAATAATATGAAATTAAAATTTTTTCCAGTGGTCCTTAAATACAGCTTGATTTGTAGTGGTATAAACGGATGGGTCCACATGGCGCACAGTAACAGTTGAAGCTGCCACCGGACGAGACAAACTCTGTGGCTCTGGACGCAGAAAGTTCTTTCTATATTCACTCAAAAAGTCACGCCTCTCCAAAGGAAACTTCCTATCCAAAGGCTTCAAATAAGGGCGAGAATACGCATCTTTATGATGTGCCTTGTAGTCTGCATGCGATGTACTGCGGTACATTTCGGGGTCCGTGTGACAAGGACAGAAATAACCCTTGGAAGAAAAATGGCCATCATCTGTCCCTTTCAATGGCGTCTGAAAATTCGACTCAAAAACCTCTGAACTGGACTTCCCAAAGCAAGCCCTTGCACTACCACGACAAGAGGATGACGCCCCATCAGTACCATTTCGGTCACCATTAGACACAAAAGAAGAAAACGAAGATTCACCATATTGCGCTGCTTTCCCATCAGAAATCCTGTGGCATACAGCACGAGATAAACCGTCCCGCGTCGACGCAACATTTAAGAGCTTATATGACTCATGGCTCACCGACCGAAGTGTATCAGGATACGCATGTCGTACATTCACCGCACGCAAATCCTTCACAACAGGTGATTCCCGTTTGTATGCCGAGGAATCAACAGACTTATATGACTCATGGCTCACCGACCGAAGTGTATCAGGATACGCATGTCGTACATTCACCGCACGCACATCCTTCACAACAGGTGATTCCCGTTTGTATGCCGAGGGATCAACGGGCCTGTACGCGTCCTGAGTCGTCGAGCGGAAGTGGTCGGGATCAACGTGGCGCGGCCCCACATCCTCTTGCTCTTCCTGCGGCAAGGCGCGCTTGTACGCCGAGGGATCAACGGGCCTGTACGCGTCCTGAGTCGTCGAGCGGAAGTGGTCGGGATCAACGTGGCGCGGCCCCACATCCTCTTCCTCTTCCTGCGGCAAGGCGCGCTTGTACGCCGAGGGATCAACGGGCCTGTACGCGTCCTGAGTCGTCGAGCGGAAGTGGTCGGGATCAACGTGGCGCGGCCCCACATCCTCTTCCTCTTCCTGCGGCAAGGCGCGCTTGTACGCCGAGGGATCAACGGGCCTGTACGCGTCCTGAGTCGTCGAGCGGAAGTGGTCGGGATCAACGTGGCGCGGCCCCACATCCTCTTCCTCTTCCTGCGGCAAGGCGCGCTTGTACGCCGAGGGATCAACGGGCCTGTACGCGTCCTGAGTCGTCGAGCGGAAGTGGTCGGGATCAACGTGGCGCGGCCCCACATCCTCTTCCTCTTCCTGCGGCAAGGCGCGCTTGTACGCCGAGGGATCAACGGGCCTGTACGCGTCCTGAGTCGTCGAGCGGAAGTGGTCGGGATCAACGTGGCGCGGCCCCACATCCTCTTCCTCTTCCTGCGGCAAGGCGCGCTTGTACGCCGAGGGATCAACGGGCCTGTACGCGTCCTGAGTCGTCGAGCGGAAGTGGTCGGGATCAACGTGGCGCGGCCCCACATCCTCTTCCTCTTCCTGCGGCAAGGCGCGCTTGTACGCCGAGGGATCAACGGGCCTGTACGCGTCCTGAGTCGTCGAGCGGAAGTGGTCGGGATCAACGTGGCGCGGCCCCACATCCTCTTCCTCTTCCTGCGGCAAGGCGCGCTTGTACGCCGAGGGATCAACGGGCCTGTACGCGTCCTGAGTCGTCGAGCGGAAGTGGTCGGGATCAACGTGGCGCGGCCCCACATCCTCTTCCTCTTCCTGCGGCAAGGCGCGCTTGTACGCCGAGGGATCAACGGGCCTGTACGCGTCCTGAGTCGTCGAGCGGAAGTGGTCGGGATCAACGTGGCGCGGCCCCACATCCTCTTCCTCTTCCTGCGGCAAGGCGCGCTTGTACGCCGAGGGATCAACGGGCCTGTACGCGTCCTGAGTCGTCGAGCGGAAGTGGTCGGGATCAACGTGGCGCGGCCCCACATCCTCTTGCTCTTCCTGCGGCAAGGCGCGCTTGTACGCCGAGGGATCAACGGGCCTGTACGCGTCCTGAGTCGTCGAGCGGAAGTGGTCGGGATCAACGTGGCGCGGCCCCACATCCTCTTCCTCTTCCTGCGGCAAGGCGCGCTTGTACGCCGAGGGATCAACGGGCCTGTACGCGTCCTGAGTCGTCGAGCGGAAGTGGTCGGGATCAACGTGGCGCGGCCCCACATCCTCTTCCTCTTCCTGCGGCAAGGCGCGCTTGTACGCCGAGGGATCAACGGGCCTGTACGCGTCCTGAGTCGTCGAGCGGAAGTGGTCGGGATCAACGTGGCGCGGCCCCACATCCTCTTCCTCTTCCTGCGGCAAGGCGCGCTTGTACGCCGAGGGATCAACGGGCCTGTACGCGTCCTGAGTCGTCGAGCGGAAGTGGTCGGGATCAACGTGGCGCGGCCCCACATCCTCTTCCTCTTCCTGCGGCAAGGCGCGCTTGTACGCCGAGGGATCAACGGGCCTGTACGCGTCCTGAGTCGTCGAGCGGAAGTGGTCGGGATCAACGTGGCGCGGCCCCACATCCTCTTGCTCTTCCAGCGGCAAGGCACGCTTGTACGCCGAGGGATCAACGGGCCTGTACGCGTCCTGAGTCGTCGAGCGGAAGTGGTCGGGATCAACGTGGCGCGGCCCCACATCCTCTTCCTCTTCCTGCGGCAAGGCGCGCTTGTACGCCGAGGGATCAACGGGCCTGTACGCGTCCTGAGTCGTCGAGCGGAAGTGGTCGGGATCAACGTGGCGCGGTCCCACATCCTCTTCCTCTTCCAGCGGCAAGGCGCGCTTGTACGCCGAGGGATCAACGGGCCTGTACGCGTCCTGAGTCGTCGAGCGGAAGTGGTCGGGATCAACATGGCGCGGCCCCACATCCTCTTCCTCTTCCAGCGGCAAGGCACGCTTGTACGCCGAGGGATCAACGGGCCTGTACGCGTCCTGAGTCGTCGAGCGGAAGTGGTCGGGATCAACGTGGCGCGGCCCCCACATCCTCTTGCTCTTCCAGCGGCAAGGCACGCTTGTACGCCGAGGGATCAACGGGCCTGTACGCGTCCTGAGTCGTCGAGCGGAAGTGGTCGGGATCAACGTGGCGCGGCCCCACATCCTCTTGCTCTTCCTGCGGCAAGGCGCGCTTGTACGCCGAGGGATCAACGGGCCTGTACGCGTCCTGAGTCGTCGAGCGGAAGTGGTCGGGATCAACGTGGCGCGGCCCCACATCCTCTTGCTCTTCCAGCGGCAAGGCACGCT